ACTAGACACGGAGATAAATATAATATCGCAAAAAGATTTTGATCCGCTCCATTATATCACAAGATGTAAACATTGAATCACCGGCGCAGGCTTACTTTTGAACATTTTGTTTTCATGTGATGTACATATATTTGGTATAAAAAATGAAGCTCTGTTTACTTCTTCTCAAGAAAGATATTAAACTTAAAGTATAATTCTTTTGAAGGCTTCACAATTCAAGAAGAATACACAAGAAGAATACGATAGATTTTCTATGAATAAAATAAGAGAGATAACTCAGGGTACAAGAGAGGTACCAGAGAGGGAATTTCGATGCAAGTGTACGTTTTTTTCCTCACTCGATCTAGTTTAATTTCTAAATAATCGTCTCGCATGGCTTTGCTACCGGATTTAATATAAAAAAAAAAATATATCAATAAACAGCAGCTTAAACACGTTTTTTAAATAATTTTTTTAAATAAAAATTCTTGTACAATCCTCTAAAAAATTGAACGAATCTTCATGTTATTTTTTTTAAATAAATAAAAATATCTAATTAAATAAAGTAAAAAAAAAAGAAAATAGCAAGATTTTAATAGTTCACATTGCACTGATCATTCAATAATATCAGCACATTTAAAATATTTATTTCTTTATTTGTTAGATAGCCAGGTTTTAAAAATTATGAGGGAGAGAGAGAGTACATTGAAATCAAATTATATCTTTTTTTTTTTTTGGAAAAAAAATTCTTGATGAATTAATTTATTTCGGGTTTTATTTTTACATGCTTTAAAATAAAACAAATACACTGCACAAAACATGAACATTATGCTTGCAAGATTCTTGTTTTGGCTGCAGATATGGGGGATTGAGGCATTTGAATTACCAAAACCCAACTCTTACGGATGTAAAAATTTCTTTGAAAGTTTGGGTGATTATTACCGCCGCTACATTTTATCAATACATCTATGGGCAATTTAAGATCAATACAGTTACATATTAGAAAATGCCAGTAATGACACAATTTATATGAGTTCTTTTCTGACCGGAAGGAGAATTACAACAAAAGTCAGAAGAAAATGAAAGTGGAATATAAAATTGGCTAGATTTCCAGGCAGAATTACCTCAAGCGAAAGTCCTTTAAAGCAGTTTTGCCATACATTTACCAATTCTGTGAAGACTTTTTTTTATCCATAAATAATGGTTTAAACTTTTTAAAAATGTTTTATTCAGTAAAATAGGTTTTAAATTAAAAGAGAGTATTAAAAAAATACTGCTTAAAGTCCTAATCCCCCTCCCCGATAGGAACCGTTTACATGTAATTTATGCAAAAGCCGCTGGCTTACGAAAGATGTAATGTAGAGTTTTTGTCTACTTCTACATTAGCAGTAATATAATGTTTTCTGTAGCAGTGGTGTTGCGTGTAGCGGTATTGACAATTTTGAAAATGTAGCGGTAATGATACACACCCAATGCTAAGCATATCGATGTCTTTTTTATGGAACCAGACTGAAATTCATAAAAAGCAAATCATTTGGAATACTTTCAACATTGGTATGTATTTTTTATTAAACCTCGACACAGCTTACCTTTTAGATTTTCGTACACAAAAGAAAGTGCAAAGGGGGGGGGGGTAAGTGTTGAAATTAAATAAATGACATCATTACTGAAAACAGTATACCTAGCTATATGTACCACTTTGCAAAAATTTGTCATTTCAGAATTTGGCCAATGAGAGGATATTACGTATATGTAACAGACGCATAACTGGACACGAACCACAGGCACTTGTTTTGGAAAAAAAATTTAACCCATAGTATATATTATACTATGGTTTAAAAATTAATTTCCGAAACAAGTGTCTGTGACATTAACATATAAGTCTAATTTCCAATTGAATTAATCTTTTCTATAAATTAAACAGTGCGATTTATTAAACCAACACATAAAATTATTTTTTATCACGCGCGATTTATTTACTGAGTATTTGATTAAAATAGATGAATAGATCGACAAATCAATTTCACAGTTTAACGAAATTCAGATTGAAATTGTTTTTTATCATAACCAAAATGCCCGGAATTATATTATTACATTAATGGTTACGCTTCGGTGCCATTTTAACTCGTTGATAGTGGTCAGTCAAGTTTCTAGTTCCGGGCATGTGTTGCCCAATGATTGATTGCTGATTGCATAAAAACGACATTGTTTAGAATTACTATTTAAAACATAAATTAAAAAATAATTTCCCAATATTATAGTCTAACTGGGTTGTGTATTTAGTTGTGTGTGTGTTTGTGTGTGTGTGAGAGAGGGTGTGTGTGTGTGTGTGTGTGGGAGGGGGGGTTAAGCTCATATCAACTACTCGTATATGTATAAGTATGTCATTTACCTATTTAACGCCTACCCCCGTCCAAATGACAACATCCCGAAATAATTACCACCGGAATTCCTGGAACTGACCCTGCCTTATTTCATGCATGTGAGTTTTATATTATTTAAACAGCATATTTTATGAGTAAATGATTAAAAAAAGTTCAATATTGGGTTTGAAAAAAGGGTGAATTGTTTCAATTAAAATAAAGATTTTATTACCAATGCAAGACAGAGTTCTTTCCAATTGTTTTTACAAACATTCTATGGAGTATTGCTTAATGTGCAATCTATCTACATTGCATCAAATTATTGTCCTTAAAATTATTGTATTTTCGTAAATAATTGCTTTTCAAATGTTTGTCTTCATCATATTTATATATAGAAAAAAATATTCTACATTATTGGGTAGATTCTGGTTTATTGTCGTTTCCGGGAACATTTTTTTTTATTTTCACATTTGGAAAGATGTATCAGATTAATATACAACCAAACAACAAAATTGTTGCTTTATTTAAAATGAAATTTAAAATTTAAAATAAAATAACTTTTGAACTCATCCTGTATACTTAGAAAACAATTCTTGCTCGGAAGTTGCATCTTCTGAGGTGTAAATTTTCTGTCGTCCAATATGAGAGAGAAGTGTAAAACAAACATCTCTTATACCATACATTGATAGATACTATTTATAACCATTAACTATTTTTAAAAAAATGAGAGAAAAATGTTCTAAACCTTTGATGGATACTACTTGTAACAACTATTTTAAAAAAAATGATTCTTTACAACCATATTAGGAACGTTACAAAAATTAAAGTCAATGTTTGACGTACTGTTAACCTGACGTCATGATTCCACTGTTAGAAAATAGAAGTATCTCTGATATAAACGAAGGAAAAACATACTTAGAGATGGAGTAGAACCATAAAAATTCATATTTGACAACTCCTAAACTTGTTCTATCAAAATTCATGAAGAACTCAAAATGTGTAAAAATTGCCATAAGGACCCTTTTCACATGGGTGCAATCATATACATGTGATAGAGATGCGGTCGAATGTAGCCAATTTAAAGTTCCTGATGTTATTAATTTCGTAACCAATGAGAATCTACTAGTATTCGCTTTTACGTAGCGCCAAGAAAGTCACGCCTTATTGAAAGTCCAAAGATAGGGTGAAAAACTCATAATCCATCTATCTGCCCATCTTTGCTAGCCAAGGGTTTCTGATACGCTTCACCCTCATTAACCCAAGGGTTTATGAGGAGAGTACTCCTCAGAAACCCAAGGGTTTATGAGGGGAGTATAGCGTATCAGAAACCCTTGGCTAGCGAAGATGCTATCTGCCATGCATGTATTTTTAATTTTAATTTTTTTTACTTAAAATATTTTTTTAACATCTTGATCAATGAATTAATAAAAAATATATGGTAGTCTGAGTTTGTTATAGTCCGACTTTTGTATAGTCCGAGTTTGTTATAGTCCGACTCCGTTATAGTCCGACTTATCTGTCAGCGAGAAAAGTTATAGTGATCGCGTATATCATGTAGTTTGGCTGTAAGATTATCATTAACGTCTTTTTCAAGTAAAATATCCAAGTATGAAACAAATGTGTTAGACTCTTTTTTTATTTTTTTTTATTTCAAGCTCACCAGGATGGATCACATTGACTAAAGAATTTATATTATAATTGTTATCTGACAATACATCGATATATCTAAATGTCGATTTGAAGGTAACAGCAAGTGCTTTCTTTTTTTCACGAATAGGATTTTGCAAAAGTTCTGCCTCAAAAGTAGATCTGTTGATAAGGGGTTGGTGGTAAAATATAGGAATGCAGGTGGTTTCGCTCCAATTACGCGTTCGAGCCGGGTGGTTTCGCGCCAATCTCTTGTTCGCGCCGAGTGGATTCGCCCGATTAGTTTCTACTGTATAACTGAAGATACCGCTTATCGGATAGTCGTTTGATTATTTATAATGTATATATTAAGATATAATAAAGAAATGGTATATGCAATGAAATGGGAAGTCTTACAAAGAATAATCGTCATGCAGAAGAATCCTTGTTCTACATAATTTAATATTGTAAATCAAATGAAAAACAATTACAACCTTCATTGAAAAGTCAATGAAATTTGTGTTAATTGTAAAATAAATATCTACTTTGACATCCAGTCTTAATTATTCCAAATTAGTTCAAATATAGTCATAATTTGGCTAAAAGGGTTTATTCCCCGAACGTCTAAAACCTATATAAACAGTATAATTATAACACTCAATTAAGAGGCCCTCTGAGGGGCACAGGTAGCGTTTACTTGTGTTACCAGTGTCTAAAACTGTATGAATAAACTACCTGCATTTATATGACTGTGTCAAAGTTATATAGAAAAAATCTTAGCGATAAGTCCTATGAAATGAATTTTGCTAACCTTTTTAGCAGTTCCGGTTACGTGGCATGGTGAGCTCACAGTAAACTCAATGGTATATTTGTAAGTTTTAGAAGGTTTACGGGAGTGAGAAAGAGTAAAAATATAGCTAGCTAAATGTAAGACTAATGGTGCGAAAAAGAAAAAGAAAAAACAGTAACCCAAACAAAAACGTAAGACATAAATTGTACCTAAGTCCAGGGGACGAGCAGTATTTACCAAACATGGCGGACATGAGTGTGGAAGAAGAAGAAGTAGTTAACTCCAGAGGAGACGCAAAGAACGCAGAAAGCACTGATGAGGAGATACATCTTAGGTTGGATATTGAAACGAAAAATGGTAAGTGCATGTGTGATGATTCATTGATTCAGCTGGGTAATAATTTAGATCCACCACCCGCCCACTCGAACACGCGTCCTTATGATGCACAGGGGCGACCTACTTGGGTTAGTGAAATATTTTTAAAACTATCAATTATCGATAAAAAACTCTCAAAGATAAATGAAATAAACGTAAAACTTGAAAGAGTTATGCAGAAAGTTCACACAGTTGAAGCTGAGATGGATAATCTAAAGAAAACATCGGGGAATATGGGAAACGCAAAAGGTTCATTGAGAAAAACGTCAGACGAGGTCAAAGGTCAAATATCTGAACTAGCAAAGGCACAGAAAACAATGGAAGATACCATAACCGATCTACAGTGTAGAAGCATGCGAGACAATTTATTGTTCTTCGGCTTGGCCGAATATAGAGGGGACAGACGGGAGAAATGTGCTGCTTTAATAAGTGATTTTTGTGAGACACAACTAGATCTACCTCACATTGGAGAAAACATCGAGAGGGCGCACAGAATAGGAAAGGTGGACCAGGAGAGAGACAAGCCAAGGCCTATTGTGGTTAAATTTAGCTCATATAGAATAAGAGAAAAGGTGCGTGAAAATGCCCCAAAATTGGCAGGTACAAGATTTAGCATACAAGAACAGTTTCCAAAGAAAATTCAAGAGGCGAGAAGCAAACTTTACCCAATAATGAATGAGGCAAGACGAAACCAAAAAAGAGCATCACTTATCAGAGATAAGCTGTATATAAATGGAGAGGAATATATCCCGGAATCTGCTAACACATAAAGATGATTTTATCACAGATGATGTACTCCAAAATGATATTCTCAGGAATGTGGCCGAAATTTTGACTTATGAAATGGACACAGCATTGCCTATGCGTGTAAACCCAGACCAAGGATTTAACGACTATGGAGCAAAACTACTGTCTCTGTGTAGATCTAGTGGATTGAGGATACTTAACGGACGCCATAAGCAGGCAATGGACAGGGACTTTACTTTTATAGGAGCAAGAGGCATGAGTGTCGTTGACTATTGCATCTCAACGCCTGATGTTTTCGAATTAATTGAAAAATTTATTGTGTCAAATTTTACAACTTTCTCCGATCATGCCCCATTACATCTCCAATTTAAATCAATTTATAGTGAAACGGAAAAGCAGAAAAAATCTAATATTAACACTGAATGTACACAGAATTCAAGGCAGTTAAGAAAATTTAAATGGAATCCTGATTATGCAGAGAAAGCAAAAACCGAAATATTAAAGGCACTGGAAACATTGGATTCTTTACTGGAGGCCCCAGAGGATGAATCTCAAGACACCATTGACACATCTATAGATCGCTTTACTACTAATATATCACAGGCCATGGGACCCTTTTTCGAAATTCAAAGAAAACCAATGCGTAAAAATCGTTACTCATCCAGAACGACACACGAGGACAAACCGTGGTTTACAGAAGAATTAAAAAGGAAGCTCGGTTTATACAAACGTGACCTTCACCTGTTCAACAAAGACAAGTCTCGGACCGCGCACCAGAATCTAATACAGTCAAAAAGGGAATACAAGATAATGGAGGCTAGGCTAAAAAGACAGTTTAAACGTAAGGAGGGAAACGTTCTCGATTATATCCGAAAAAAAAATCCAAAAGCGTTTTTCAGAAAATTTAGGAAGAAAAATATTAATGAAATAAATATACACCCCGATACCTTATTTAATTACTTCAAAGAAATGACATCCGACAGCAATGCGCAGGCTTCCGCAGACTTACACATTGACGACGACAATATTATATTCGACGAATTTGATAAAGAAATATGTGAAAAGGAAATTTCAGACGCAGTTAGCAGATTAAAGAAAGAAAAATCACATGGAACAGACTTAATAATTAACGAATATTTTATAGAATTTAAAGAAATATTAATGCCTTATCTATGTAAATTGTTCAACAGAGTATTATTGTCTGGTTTTTTCCCACGAATGTGGTCAGAGAGCATAATAGTTCCAATATTTAAAAAGGGAGATATGTCAGACCCAAATAACTACAGAGGCATTAGCTTAATCAGTTGTTTTTGTAAATTATTCACGTCAATTCTAAATCAGCGTTTACTCGCATGGTCAAATGATAATTAAAATTTCTCGCGTTACGAAGTATAGCGAGAAATAATTGTCCTAACGACATGTAAACGAATTGTTTGAGTTGAAACGGAGGTCTTATGCGGGGTAATTGTGTACTGAGTAATAGCCAATGGAAATGGGTTTTAAGTTATGACGTGTTCGAATGGGTAAAAGAGATTTCTGGTAATCATTCTCTAGCGCACGCTCTACCAGTGCAAGTCAAAGTTTTGTAAGACGGACGCTAGGCGCATTCATTGGGGTTAAATTCGTCTATTTCTAAAGAACTTTATTTTGCCGTTTACGTATAAAAGGATTTGTTGGGCAATTTTTGACTTCAATTAACATTTTCCAACAAAATATTCATCGAATTTCGATATCACAGAATTGAATAGTGTCCCGTAAATAGGGCACGACAAGCAGTACAAGAAAACGAGCACTGGAATCAGCTACAGGGACGTTCGAGAAAAGGGTCGTTTGAGCTGTGATTGCACAAGAGAGATACAAGATAAGTAATTTGAAAATATTGCAAACGTTCGTCGAGATGTCAAAATAAAATAATATTGAAAATGGGAGGATTGATATTTGAAGCTTTAATATTTTAAGATTTCAGGTGAATGAATGACACAAGTTAAAAAGAAAAATACGTGTAGTATATGTATTGTAAAATTCTAACCGCAATGAGCTATCTTTTGTAAAAAGCTGTAGTGTATTACGCATTAACAGGTCATCTATTTAAAGAAAGAATTGAGAGGCTTTGTGTCATACCACCTTTATTTAAGAAGTAGAAGTAAAAGACAGAAAGAAAGAAAAGATTAATGGTATTTTGAGACTGATTTGATAAAGACATATAGTTTGCATTTTGTGTCAATAAAAAAAAAAAAAGTTTTGGGCTGAGGACAAAATTTACATTTTTATATTATAGTTTGCATAGAATGAAAGTGTGTTTAAAATGAAGGATTTATTTTTTCAATCATATTAACATTGCTGATTTTAAAGGCATCGGACAATTAATTTCTTGGAATCTAATTGAGACGTAAAAAAAAAAAGAAATGCATTCATTTTCAGATTTAAAGTTTTATATTTATGAAATTGTACAAGTAGAAGTCGGCTGCAGTACTGCAGGTCTCATATACTGTAGTTACAAAGGTCATTGGAAATCATTAGAAGATTTTAATTGCAAAAACTACCCTACTCATTTTTTTTAATGGCTGTAGTGTAATGCATCTTATTTGAATTTCAGTGGGTTAAAAAAAAATCATTATTTTGAATTCAGCAACAATTCTAGTATAATTTGTTTCAATGAAAAATTAATTTGATGTTATCTTACTCAAGATCAAATATCGTTGAAATGTTAAAGTTTATAATATTTATTACGTGATGCCTCAGATGTAGATTATGATATTTTATTGAGGTTTTGGGAGGACAACAGCTAAAACAAAATTACGGTGAAAATATTTAACCAAAATATTTGTCTTTGATGCATCAGATGTATGCAATTTACATTGAATTTTTGCAAAAGGATGTCTCAGATGTAGACTATGGTGCTAGATTTCAAATGTCTGTCGTGGGAAAAAAAAATGTTTTGAAAGCATTGAGCAAAAACGGTTTGCTTTTAATTGTGATGCATCATATGTATGCAATTTACATTGAATTTTTGCAAAAGGATGTCTCAGATGTAGACTATGGTGCTAGATTTCAAATGTCTGTCGTGGGAAAAAAAAAATGTTTTGAAAGCATTGAGCAAAAACGGTTTGCTTTTAATTGTGATGCATCATATGTATGCAATTTACATTGAATTTTTGCAAAAGGATGTCTCAGATGTAGACTATGGTGCTAGATTTCAAATGTCTGTCGTGGGAAAAAAAAATGTTTTGAAAGCATTGAGCAAAAACGGTTTGCTTTTAATTGTGATGCATCATATGTATGCAATTTACATTGAATTTTTGCAAAAGGATGTCTCAGATGTAGACTATGGTGCTAAATTTCAAATGTTTGTCGTGGGACAAAAAAAAAAAAAAAAAATGTTTTGAAAGCATTGAGCAAAAATGGTTTGCTTTTAATTGTGATGCATCATATGTATGCAATTTACATTGAATTTTTGCAAAAGGATGTCTCAGATGTAGACTATGGTGCTAAATTTCAAATGTGTGTCGTTAAAAATAAAATAAATAAATAAATAAATTAAAATAAAAAAAAAAATCTTGAATATATTGAACAAAAATGGTTTGCTTTTAATTGTGATGCATCAGATCATGAGATGTATGCACTTTACATCGAATCTTATGATATAATGTCTTAGATGTAAGGGATGGATTTTAATTGAATCCTGACAAAAAATATACTACATGTAGTATGTTTGTAATCATAATAATAATAATAAAAAAAAAATAAAAAAAAAAAAAAAAAAAAATCACCAATTGCAAATTTTAACGTACGAAAATTGTATAGAATCTTGATTAGGGATGTGAAAAGTAAATTCCATCACAGGCACCTAGAAAAATGTAACATTTTTCGATATGATATACATGTACTTTAAATTAATTGTTTCAAGGGGTAATATTTGGTACTGTAATAGTTAGTAATGAAAAATGTCAATAAAAAAAAAAAAAAAATGTTGGATCGTGTGGCCGATTTGATCGTTTCATTTGAATTTCATTGGATATCGAACGAGAAACATATTAATATTTAAAAAAAAAAATGACGATGCAAGAGTTTAACACATTATGAACAGATTGCCATGCTTTAAAAAAGAAGTGTATTAAATTCTTTAAGTATACATGTATGTGTCTGGAAACACATGGCATAAATAAGTTTCTTTTTGAGCAGAAGAAAAACGAATTGATTGGTTTGGCCTCAAATATTTTAATTAAGATTTGTCAAAGATTTAAAGCAAGGTTATTACAGAGTCTATTTTGTCTCTATTCCGATTAGGTTGTTTAGAAAAAAAAAGCCTTGGAAATACTGACAGGAAGAATACCTTGCTTAAAAAAAAAAAAGTCAAATGTCTATTACGTATCTTTTAATTTAACGACACAGAAAATTAGAATTTTTATTTATAAATATTTTTGTCATTCATTGATTTCAAATTGAATGGTATTATTTCATGAGAATTAAGATGGTTGGTAAAGAATTTTCATGAATGAACATTTTTCATATCAGTGATTTTATAATTCTTTTAGTTGTAGGAATGAAAATGCAGTAAGAACAGTAAAAGGATATCAGATTTCCAATATTTGGCAGTTTTTGAAGTCTGATGTTTGTGCATACGTCAAAATATCTTCTGCATACTAAAAGTGAAAAATTTAAAGAAAGCCGGAGATCGAACATGGATGTGTGAGAAATTCTGGTAAAATCTGTGCGGTGTTATAAATGTCTTCTTAGGATGTGTTTTATTCCACCAAATAGCCTCGACCGAAATTAATTCACGCAAACAGAGGCACAGCATATCGTTTAGAGGAGCCGAGTAAAAATTCTTCAAGACTAAGCAAAAGACAGTTAAAGAGCCGGTTTGTAGCAGGAGTCCAGTTGACAATAAAATGCATGTTGCAAAATCTGTGTACATTATATAAAACATTGACAAAAATTTTATTTTCAGGAATTTGATTCATGTTATTACGATCGAGATTTTTCATATATTTCATCACTTAAGCATTTTAAAATGTGTCAT